GAACATTGTTTCGTTCTGCTGTGCATGGGGTCGCTATGAGTCGGTTCCGACTCGATGGCATCTGACAACAACAACAAGTGTCAACATTTGTTTATCTGTTCTTTACTTGATGGGCATTTAGACTGTCTCTCCATGTTGATGCTGTTGTGAATAGTGCTGCTATGAACATGAGTGTGCATACATCTATTTGTGTCATGGTTTTTATTCCCTGAGGACATATACAAACTAGAGAGATTGCTGGGGAATACGGTATTTCTGTTTTCAGTTTTTTGAGGAAGCACCATACCATTCTTCACAGTGGTGGCACCATTTTATAATCTCATCAGCAGTGTAGGAAGGTCCCAGTCTCTCCACACCCTTGTCAGCATTTTGTTGTTTTCTGGTTTGGTTTTGTTTTTTTTGTTTGTTTTTTAAGCCTTGCTATTAATGCTGGGGTTAAGAGGCTATGAAGAAAAATGTTGCATCAGGATTGGAGGGAGACTCATGAACAACCTGCAATATGCAGATAATTCAACCTTATTTGCTGAAAGCAAAGAGAACTTAAAACACTCACTGATGAAGATCAAAGACCACAGTCTTCAGTATGGATTGTGCCTCAGTGTAAAGAAAATGAAAATCCTCACTACCAGATGAATAAACAACATCCATATAAATGGAGAAAAAATGGAAATTGTCAAAGACTGCATTTTGCTTGGATCCACAATCAACAATCATAGAAGCAACAGTCAAGAAATCAAACAATGTATTGCATTAGGCAAATTGGCTGCACAAGACCTCTTTAAAGAGTTCAAGGGCAAATACATCAGTTTGAAGATTAAGTTGCGCCTGACCCAAGCCATGGTATTTTCAATAGCACGTGAAAGTTGGACAGTGAATAAGGAAGACCACAGAAGAATTGATGCGTTTGAGTTGTGGTGTTGGAGAACATTGAAGGTACCACGGATTGCCAGAAGAACAGATCTGTGTTGGAAGGAGTACAGCCAGAGAGCTCCTTAGAAGCAAGGAAGGTGAAACTTCGTCTTTCATACTTGAGACACATTATTAGGTGGGCCCAGTTCCTGGAGAAGGACCTCATGCTTGGCAAAGTGGGGGATCAGTGAAAAAGAAAGAACCCTAACAAGATGGATGGGCACAATGGTAGCAGCAATAGGTTCAAGCATATCGATTGTAAGAAAGGTGCAGGATGGAGCAGTGTTTTGTTGTTATTCACAGAGTTACTGTGAGTCGGAACTTACTCCTCAATGGCATCTAATAACAACAAAGATGACATTTCATCATCGTTATTTTGATTTGCATCTCTCTTGTTGTGCTGCTGTGGGTGGATGCATTGGACTGCAAAGTGGGTTTGAACTGCAAAGTCGGCAGTTCAAGCTTACCAGCAGTTCCTCAGAAGACCTATACAGGGTCACTATGGGTCAGAACTGACTCAACAACATTTAACAACAAATGTTGTTGTTGTTACATGCCGTCGAGTCGGTTCCGACCCATAGCGACTCTGTACAGGGTTTCCAAGGGTGTAAATCTTTATGGGAGTAGAAAGCCTCATCTTTCTCCCGCGGAGCGGCTGGGTAATAGCACTAGCTAATTATTGTGAGCATTTCTTCACATGTTTGTTGATCACCTGAACGTCTTCTTTGGTGAAGGATTATTCATGTCCTCTGTCCATTTTTTAATTGTATCATTTGTCTTTTAATTGTTGAGGTGTTGAAGTTTTCCATAAATTTTAGAGATTAGTCCCTTGTCTGGTGTGCCATTGCCAAAAATTTTTCCCAGTCTGAGTCCTCTCTTTACGTTCTTGGTGAAATCTTTTGATGTACTCAGTGTTTAAGTTTTAGGAGGAACCAGTCATTTCTTTTGCCTTCTGCTATTTGTGCATTTTCAATGTGTTTGACAGTGCATGTATGCCATGTTAGTTTCTAAGTTTTTGCTGATAACCTCTATAGTTCTAGGTTTTACATTTACGCCTTTAATCCATGTTGAGTTTGTTTTTCTATATGCTGTGAGATATGAGTCTTGTTTCATTTTCCTGCAAATCATTTTCTGGTTTTGCATGTACCATTTGTTGTAGAGACAATCTCTTCCTGGGACACTCATCGCTGTGCCTAACTTAAGTTCCTCACTGGCAGCACTAGCACTTTTGGGTCCAAGGTTGATACCCACTCTCTGGGGTCCAAAGATTCACCTGGTGGGGAGCGGGAAGGAGACAGGTTCCAGTGCATGCTAGGTGTAGTTTCCAAACCCAGTGGTTCCAGATTGGCCGCTGATCCTAGTACATCACTATCCTATCAAGGTTGCCCAATTTGTTACACACAAAGTGCCGGGGTCATTGTCTGGAGTGAGCCAAGATAGTTCTTTTAATTTTTAATTTTTCTACGTACTTATTACTTATTATTAAACTTGTGGTGCATAAGCCTCAGACAGAGAAGGAGTCCCCAGATCCTGTCTGCTTCTAGCTTCTTTTCAAGTTTCTTTTATAGAGTAAGGACTACGCCCTAATCGTGTTATCCATAGTTTCATGATTACAGGTTAAGCATGCACGAGAGAACAAAGTTGGTGGCACTACTTGTTAGCTGCTTCCATCTCATAAGCCACCCTGTATTGGATTTCTGAGAGCGACTGGTGGGTTTGAACTGCCAACCTCGCGGTTACTAGTCCATTGGTTATCCTACAGTGCCGATGCCTCATTTTAATGTTAAATCTCCATCTAGGTGTGTGTTCTTAGCACGCCAATGTCTCTAGGGTTCTTGACCTGTTATTTATGGCTTTTTTGTCTCTTTTTACTTTGGTGTTAGCAGGTCTTCTGACCATCTAGTTAAGAAGAAAACACATTTCTGTGTTATGTAATGGGAGGAACTTTGTAAAACTCTTTTTCGAGAGCGCTGTGCTTGCCTTAGATGAAAGCTATGCATTACCGGCTCCAACTGTTTTGAAATTTCCATCTGTCTTTTTGCTTTTATGAGTACGGATTGTGTTCATCAGCAGCCACAGTGAGGAAGTGAATTCCTGGCTCTTCGGAGGTCAGAGCACCTCCTAAAGCACAGCAGTCCCTAGTGATCCCATTGCCCAGGTGTGCGCACAGTGCAGGAAGCTGGCGTTGCATTCCAAAGAGGGAGGATTTACAAGCAACTTTACGGAAGGCCTGTCGTTCGCACACCAGGTGGGAATGGGTCCTGCCAGGTTGCCTTGCTATCTCCGTTCCTCGGACGCGGGTCCGAGCCCCATAGGGCAGGGCGCGGCTGGAGGGCCAAGTGCAGGCATCTCGCCACGCATGCGCAGCCCATGCGCAAGCTCAGCCCCACCCCTGCCTGTGAGCACTTTGATTTCTGCATCCGGGGCAGGGACCAAACCCACTTCATTAGGCTTACAGTGGCGGAGAGCACCGGAAGCGGAAGTAAGCCCCGTGACCGCAGGAGGAAACCGGCGTAGGCCTCGTCAGCTGCCTACGTCTGCGAGGCTGTAGCCCGGGGTAGTCCCGAAGGGCGGGACCCGGTCGCGGGGAGTCCCGAACCCCGAGGCCTCAGCGCCATGAAGCTGTATAGCCTTAGCGTCCTGTACAAGGGCGAGCCCAGGGCGGTGCTGCTGAAGGCCGCGCACGATGTGTCCTCCTTCAGCTTCTTCCAGAGGTCCAGGTGAGCGGTCTCTGCGGCGCCGTCGGTCTCGGATCGAGTCTGTAGGAACGGCTGTAGGGTGAAAGCCGGGGGCTGGGGAGCAGCTCGGAGCCCTCTCGGGGCTCCCTGCACCCCGCACACGACCAGCCGCCCCATCTCAAACCTTGTCCGCGGGCACCGCTGCCGGCTTCCCTGGTGGGTTTCCACTGCCGATCCCCCGCGCCACACCCGGGCTCCTCCAGCGCAGGTTTGGGCCGAAGCATTGAACCTGCCGGGCTGCCAGCCTGGAAGCGCTGTTTCCAGGCGTTTGAATGGCAGGGATCCGGGCCTTGGAAGGAGGCCTGTGGGGCGCGCCGGGAGAAGCACTGGACATCTCACCGCAGGGCCGGCGGTTCAAACCCACTGGCCGCTCCTTGGACGCTCTATACAGGGTTGCTGTGAGTTGGAACTGACCTACATGCATCAGAAGGACAGTGTAGGATTCCCTAGTCGTTGTAGGGAAGGGACCCCGACGGCCCAGTGTTACGTGCAGGTAAGTCAGTTCTGACCCACCTGGACCCCAGGAAGAAGCTGAAGGAGGGCACGGTGTGGGCGGCTGTCAGTCCTTAATCTCGCCTTTGCAGAGGACGCTGAGGCTGTCCAGCGACTCTGTATACGTTTCCCAGAAGTACCTGGTGGGTTTGAACCGCCAACCTTTTGGTTAGTTGCTGTTAGGTGCCATTGAGTTGGTACCGACTCATAGTGACACAATAGAAGGAAACACTGCCCTGTCCTGGGCCAACCTCACAGTCACTGCTATGTTTGAGCCCATTGATGCTTCCACTTGGCCAATCCATCTCGCTGGGGTCTTCCTCTTTTTTCTCTGACCCTCCACCTTACCAAACATGATATCCTTCTCCAGCTATGGGTCCCTCCTGACAATATGTCCCAAGTATGAGAGACAAAGTTTGGTCATCCTGGCCTCCAAGGAGCACTCTGGTTGTACTTCCTCCAACACATGCTCTTTTGGCAGCCCATGGCACTTTAAGTTTTCTCCTCCAACACCATAATTCATATGCATCAGTTCTTCTACAGCTTTGGCATGCATATGAGGTTATTGAAAATACCATGGCTTGGTCAGGTGCACCTTAGTCCTCAAGCTGATGTCTTTGCTCTTCAACACTTTCAAAAGGTCTTGTGCAGCAGATTTGCCTGATGCAATATGTCATATGATTTCTTGACTGCTGCTTCCATGAGTGTTGCTGGTTGATCGAAACAAAATGATGTCTTTGACAACTTCGATCTTTTCTCCCTTTATATGAATGTTGGTTATTGGTCCATTAGTGAGGATTTTAATTTTCTTTGTATTGAGATACAACCCATATTGAAGGCTGTGTGGTCTTTGATCTTCATCAGTAAGTATTTTAAGTCCTCTTCGCTTTCAGCAAGCAAGACTGTATCCTCTGCATATCACAAGTTGTTAATGAGTCTTCTTCCAGTCTGGATGCCACAGTTTGTTTCATATAACCCAGCTTCTCGGATTATTTGCTCAGCATACAGGTTGAATAACTACAATGAACATAGCCCTGGCGAACACCTTACCTAATTTTAAACCATTTGGTGTCCGTTATTCTGTTTGAACAACTGCCTCTTGATCTATGTACAGGTTCTCCATGAGCACAATCAAGTGTTCTGGAATACTCATTTTCTGCAATGCTGTCCATAGCTTGTCATCCACAAAAGCCTTTACATGGTCAATAAAGCACAGATATATATCTTTCTGGTATTCTCAGCTTTCAGCCGAAATCCATCTGATGTCAGCAGTCATATTCCTCATTCCATGTCCTCCTGAATCCGACTGGAACATTTCAAAGTTCTCTGTCAATGTGTGGTTGCCACCAATTATCTTTAACAAAAGTTTGTTTGCATGGGATGTTAATGATATTGTCTGATGAACGTTCTGTTGGATTACGTTTCTTTGGAATGGTACAAATGTAGACCTCTTCCAGTCAGTTGGCCAGGTAGTTGTCTTCCAAATCTCTTGGCATAGATGAGTGAGTGCCTCCAGTACTGCATCAATTTGTTGAAAGAGTTCCATCAGTCCCTACTACCCTGTTTGTATTCCATCAGTCCCTACTACCCTGTTCTTGGCCAGTGCCTGCACTGCACCTTGAACTTCCTCCTTCAGTATCATTGGCTCTTGATCATATGCTACCTCTTCAAACGGTTGAACATCAGCCATTTCTTTTTGGTACAGTGATTCTGTGTACTTCCTCTGTCTTCTTTTGATGCTTTCTGCATCATTCAATATTCTGGTTAGTAGTCCAGTGCTTATCCTCCTGCCGTGCCACACCACGGTTCCTGGTCAGTATCTGTAGCTATGTCAGAGTTCTGGTGGAATTTGTTTTTTGGATTCTGTTTTCATTGCTTCAGTAAAACTGTTCTTGATGGAGTGCTTCACCAGTGGCTGGCTAGAAGGATCTAATAATCTTCTGATGCTTTTTTGTTGAAACTCTCAGCTGCTTTGGGGCTGCCATCTTCTTGATTCTTCTTTACCATGCCATCTGCCTACTGCTCTATGTTCTTGAAACTTTTGGTGTCAGCGTGGCCAACTCTGATTGCCTGCCTTTTTTCCTTGCCCATCATTACTGAAGATTCTGAGATTTTGCTGTAGGAACTTTACCTTCCTGGTTTCAGATGTCCATATACAGCTACAGCCTTAAAACAAGCATTCCAGCTCAGCTCATTGTTGTCCTTGTAAGCTCTCCTGACTTCCAGCCTTCCAACTTCATGATCACCATGCTGAGCCTGAAGCCTCGGGGTCATTTCCCACCCTTTCTGACCCTCGTGTGCAGGCTCTCGCAGATCTCTCCTAGTGCGGTCACAGTTCTTCTGTAGTTTTGCTGCAAAGTCTTTATTTGTTGATTTCTTCTCCAAGGGATTGTTTTTGCTTGTATGGCTCTCAGCCAGTACCACAGTGTGCCTGCCAGGCATGGTGCTAAGTGCTTTTCATTTACCCCCCACGGCAAACCCTGATTTCACATAGCGCCACCGCACACCTAGTAAGTGTTGGAGCTGGGGTCCCAACCCAGTCTGTTCCAGAATCAGGGCCCTTCATGATCTCCCACAGTCGCCAGGGAGTTGATGGGCCCTACCTTCCTGTATGCTGCCTTCCAGCCTCTGTGGTTCTCTGGCTGGTTCCTCACTAGTGATGAGCCCATAGCCACTAGTCTGTGGTATTGGCTATTCCCCACATGGTTGTCTTAGCTAAGCGGTTTCCCTCATTCTTTCCAGGGTGCAGATTGGGCAGACCTTGCACTCACTATGGTTCTGTAAGGAATCACCAATGCCCATTTTCTTGGCACAGCCACAGTGGGCTATGCATCCGCTTAGCAAAATTGTTATCACTTGTGTTTTGTCAGTGCAGTATTTTACTTGTCCTGCTTCTTGCAGTGAGACATCCATTGTGCCACCTTCTCTGCAGTATCCCAAATAATGCTCTGACCAGA